AGAGCGTCAAATAAGGGATGTGGCCCTGGTCGTGGTGCTGCTGGTGTTGGTGGAGCTCCTGTTGCAAGGAGAGCTTGTGGTTGATCTGTGCCAGCTACATGCACAAGTGAAACACACTCCTCAGGTGCGAGTTGGCGACCGAACCTTCAGCGTTATTTGGTAGGCCCGAATGCCGCTCTATGAATGGTGAGGCCAGAACAAGTACAGGCAATAGTAGATTGGATGGCTGATAGTGCCTCCAGACATTGTCTCCCACCCGGCCCCCTGCTGAAAGCTCAGAGTTGGCACCTGCAGCCCATGGCCATCTGTCTTTCACCTCACCCCCTTTGCAAATCAGCAAAGGAGTCTGAGCCACAAGTCATGCAGCAGTCTCTTATGCTTTTTGATGACTCTGCTGGCGGGGTTTCCGTGGGCCATCCACCTAGCCCTGCCCCAGAAGTGGAAGAGATTGAGTGCACTGATGCACAACCACTTATGTGTCAGTATGTGGACATGCAAGGACCACCGCAGCACGTCTCTCATGATGACGAAACACAGGTGCCAACTACTGTGGCTTTCTGCAGTGTGCAGACCGGCAACGAGGGCAGGGTTGAGGAGTGGGTGGAAGATGATGTAGAGGATGATGAGGTCCTAGACCCCACATGGAATGAAGGTCATGCGAGTGACGTGTGCAGTTTGGAGGAAGAGGCGGTGGTCGCACAGTGGCACCAGCACAACATAAGAGGGTGCAAAAGTGGAGCGGCCGTCCCCTAGACGGTATGCCTGTTACTGCCCACCACACCAAGGGGCTGAGCACATCAAAGCCAGCTCCAAGGAGTTCCTTGGCATGGCAGTTCTTCACACAATGTGCTGACCACAAGACACGAGTGGTTTGCACGCTGTGCAATCAGAGCCTGAAGCGAGGAATAAACGTGCTAAACCTGAGCACAACCTGCATGACCAGGCATCTACATGCAAAACACGAGCTGCAGTGGAGTAAGCACATCAAAAACCAAGAAAGGTCTCAGCTGTCCATCTCCCAAACACTGGATAGAAAGAGGAAGTACGCCCCTACCCACCCGCCATCCCTGGCCTTGAATGTCAGCATTTCAAAATTCGTGGCCTTTGAAATGCTGTCATTCCATCTGGTGGAGACGGACAGTTTTAAAAACCTGATAGCAGTGGCTGTCCCACAGTACGTGGTTCCCAGCCGCCACTACTTTTCCAGGCGAGCCATCCCTTCCCAGTACAATAAATTGGTGGACAAAATCAGGTGTGCACTGCGCAACTCCATTTGTGGCAAGGTCCACATAACCACAGATACGTTGACCAGTAAGCACGGGCAGGGACGCTATATCTCCCTAACTGCACAATGGGCAAATGTAGTGGCGGCTGGGCCTGATGTGGATAGCAGTTTGGCGCATGTCCTTCCGCCACCGAGGATTGCAGGGCATTTCTCTTTGCCTCCTGTTGCCTCCTCCTCCTACTCCTCTTCCTCCTCCTCTACCACCACCTCATCCGGGCAATGTAACACCTTCACCACTAACTTCAGCACAGCCAGGGGGAAACAACAGCAGGCTGTTTTAAAACTCATATGTTTGGGGGAAAAACCCCACACTGCGCAGGAGCTGTGGACAGGCATGGAACAACAGAGCGATGAGTGGTTGTTGCCATTGAGCCTCAAGCCCGGCCTGGTGGTGTGCGATAATGGGCGAAATCTCGTAGAAGCTCTGGGCCTAGCCGGTTTGACACACATGCCTTGCCTGGCGCATGTGCTGAATTTGGTGGTGCAGAAATTCTTGAAAAACTACCCAGATATATCAGAGCTACTGCAGAAAGTGCAGGCCGTCTGTGCGCGCTTTCGGTGTTCTCACCCTGCTGCTGCTTGCCTGTCTGTGCTGCAGCGTAACTTCAGCCTTTCCGCTCACCGCCTCATATGCGACGTGCCCACAAGGTGGAACTCCACCTTGCACATGCTGGAGAGACTGTGTGAGCAGCAGCAGGTGATAGTGGAGTTTCAGATGCAGCACGCACGAGTCAGTCACTCGGCGGAACAGCACCACTTCACCACCAACGAGTGGGCCTCCACCAACATGGCCAGTGCCGATAATGCCGTTCTCAGCCTTACTATCCCGCTTCTATGTCTCCTTGAAAAAACGCTTCGGGCGATGATGGAGGAGTATGTGGCACAGGAGGAAGAGGAGGGGGAAGAGGGGTAATTTCCACGGTTATCAGGCCAGTCATTCACAAGTGGCTTGGAGGGTGGGTTCCTGCACCAGCATAGGCCAGGTACACAATTGTCCAGCCAGGGCACAGTTCTGGAGGATGAGGAGGAGTATGATGAGGATGAGGAGGAACCGTGTTCACAGCAGGGTGGCACCCAACGCAGCTCGTGGACTTCACTGGAGCGTGGCTGGGGGGATACGGAGGACACAGACGATACACCTCCCATGGAGGACAGCTTTTCCTTGCCTCTGGGCAGCCTGGCACACATGAGCGATTACATACTGCAGTGCCTGCTCAATCACTGGCGAGTTGCCCACATTCTAACTTGTGCTGATTACTGGGTGGCCACCCTGCTGGATCCCCATTACAAGGACAACGTGCTGTTCTTAATTCCCTCACTGGAGCATGGTAGACGCGCTGCTGAGGGCATTCCCATCTGACACCAGGGGCTCAGTGGAAGCACAAAGCTTTGTCAGCACGCCACAACAACCAGCACCACCATCTGATATGGAACGTCTTAGCAGGAGGCAGCATTTCAGCAACATGGTGGAACAGTACTTGTGCACACGCCTACACGTACTGACTGATGGGTCTGCCCCATTCAACTTCTGGGTCTCCAAATTGGGCACATGGCCTGATCTTGTCCTTTATGCCTTGGAGGTGCTGGCCTGCCCTGCAGCCAATGTATTGTCTGAACGTGTGTTTAGCACGGCAAGGGGCGTTATCACAGACAAGCGCAGCTGCCTGTCCACAGCCAACATGGACAAGCTCACGTTTATTAAAATGAACCAGGCATGGATCCCACCAGACTTGTCTGTATCTTGTGCAGAATAGACATTTATACCAGCCTCACCCAGCCATTGTTATACTCAAGTCCACTTATTCTTTGTTTTCTTTTTTTGGCTATTGGCTACCTCCTCCTCCTCCATCGCCGCTTCCACCTACACCACCACGGTCACCCCCTCCTCAACCTATGGGTCACTTAGTATAAACTATGTACACAATAACAGAGGCTTGTGAAGGCCTTTTCTCCATGCATCAGGACTGCAAGAAATGCACCACAGGCCGCAAATGTATTTTTTTTATATGTCCCAATATTTTGGGGGCTACCCCAATAAAAAAATAAAATAAATAAAAAACAGTGTTGGCTACCTCCTCCTCCACCGCCGCTTACACTTACACCGCCACGCTCACCGCCTCCTCAACCTATGGGTCACTTAGTATAAACTATGTACACAATAGCAGAGGCTTGTGAAGGCCTTTTCTCCATGCATCAGGACTGCAAGAAATGCACCGCAGGCCACAATTGTTTCTTTTTTTGTATGTCCCAATATTTTGAGGGCTACCCCAATTAAAATAAAAAATAGATATATATATATAAACAGTGTTGGCTACCTCCTCCACCGCCGCTTCCACCTACACCGCCACAGTCACCGCCTCCTTAACCTATGGGTCACTTAGTATAAACTGTACACAATAGCAGAGGCTTGTGAAGGCCTTTTCTCCATGCATCAGGAGTTGAGCATTTCTCCATGCATTAGGACTGCAAGAAATGCACCGCAGGCCGCAAATGTTTCTTTTTTTATATGTCCCAATATTTTGGGGGCTACCACAATTAAACAAATAAAAAACAGCGTTGGCTACCTCCTCCTCCTCCACCGCCGCTTCCACCTACACCGTCACCACCTCCTCAACCTATGGGTAACTTAGTATAAACTATGTACACAATAGCAGAGGCTTGTGAAGGCCTTTTCTCCATGCATCAGGTGTTGAGCTCAGTTTGAACAATGAAAGAGAATACCCTGCACTCCAACCCTCTCTCAAATGGATAGTTCTGGTGATCCTCCTAACAGCCATGCTTTAGATTTTGATTTATGTTCTTCCAACGCTAAAATTAAAGATTCCATCTAGTGCTTTTTTATGGCTCAGCTGTATTTTTTATTTTTATGTTATTTTAAGTGATTTCCCTATCCATATTTGTTTGCAGGGCACTTGTCCTACTCTTACCCCCATTTTACTTCCTTTTGCAGTCCTCTAGCCCTTTCCAGGACTTTTTTAGAGGCATTTTTGTGCCCAAACATTCGGGTCCCCATTGACTTCAATGGGGTCGGGGTCAAGTTTGAGCACAAACCCGTACTTCTTTCAAAGTTCGGCAGAACCCGGACCCGAACATCCAGGTGTCCGCTCAACTCTGTTAGTAACGTGCCTTGCTCGTCTGTCAGGTTCTTTCTGGTTTTCTTGCTGTGTGGACAATTTGATTAATTCTATCCCTGTACAATTGTACCTCCAAAAGCCCTCTCTCCAGTGTCAGAAAATAGATCTTATACTGGTGATCACGTGGATGAAAATGCCTGATAGGGATTTGAGGTACATCATAGGTCATCAAGGCCCTGTTCTCTTTAATCCACAATGTATTCATACATTTTAGATTCTGAAGAGGTTAGAAGTAGCCTTTACAATAATGTCTCATAAAGGCCATAGTTGGGATTCCATTGTGGGATTGTTTTATTTGCCAGTACGGATAAATAATTCATCAATTTGTTACTGTTATTTAATCTTCTGTAAGCCAGTCTAAAGGAAATGGATGCAAAGTCTTTGCGTTATACATCTTAATGCACCACACTGAAATAAACACAGATCCTACTATACTTTCCAGAAGGCAAACAATATTAGAAATAAACAACTTTCTATGAAAATCTATTAAAATATGAAAAACATTTTAAATGGAAAGATATATTTTTTTCTAATCCACAAAAAAAGAAAAAAAAATTGTAGATTATGCTAACGTAGTGTACCTATAATCTTAATTTTAATAATGACAGGAGGCGAGTATTTTGCATGACTTTCTTTACTCGTGCCTCCAGCAGCACAAGTCAATCAATAAACTTTGAACCAATCATAAAAGAGTACATAACCATATATAAAGCTCTGATTGTCACATGACTTCCTCTTTCTTTGAATTGCTATCAGTCCACGTAACGTCAGTAGCTAAAACTTAAGTTCGTAGTGATATAGTGTTTCAAACTTGTTCCATGGAAAGTCCAACTTCAATAAAATCCAACTCCAAATGGGTTAACGCATATTGAACTGAAACTTGATCCGTAAGATCCATTATCCGGCTTGTCTTCTTCGGCGCCAATAGCGGTAATCACACTGAAAGAAACAGAAACGTGTGTAAGAGACTGGAAATAGACTGATGTCTATATAATATCATTGATACTATATCTATCCATATCCTATACAAATAGTAATAACCTATCTCCATATACTAGCATCCAACCATAACATCAACAAAAACCTTGTCTATTACCTCAAACATCCTATACATATCCTCTAGATAAACTATGCAGGTTACAATCAAACAATAGAAATGGTGACATATGAGAACCAGAGAATGGGAGGGAAGGGAGGGAAAATACTCGCCTCCTGTCATTATTAAAATTAAGATTATAGCTACACTACGTTAGCATAATCTACAATTTTATTACATGACAGGAGGCTTCCTATTTAGCATTTTTAAAGCTGAGGTAATAGCGAGAAAGATGCGTGTGTGTTCTGACGAAACTAAAATAAACGGAAGGTATCCTTCCGTGTCCAGTCTGCGGAACGTAGGATATCTGCTAAAGAAGCTGACGCCGAGAATGCTCTCGAGGCGGCCGCGCCCCTGACCGAGTGAGCCCCAAAACACGTCTCCACTCCTGCTCGGGACAGGATCCAACGAACCCATCGAGCCAGAGTAGTAGTGGTAACTGGTTTGTAAGGTTTGGTGTAAGACACCAACAGCTGCCCTCTGCTAAAAGCTCGAATGCTTGCAGTAACCTCCACATATCGCGCAAGTGCAGAAACTACACATAAACGAGGGACCGTAGGGAAGAAGGGATAAGATATAGATGTTGAATTTGTTTTGGTTCTACGAGCCACCGTGAAGGTAACCCCTTCTGGTGAGATCGAGAACCCGTCCACATCGAACGCTCGCACGTCCGAAACCCTTCGAAAGGATACCAAACATAAAAGTAACGTAAGCTTGGCCGACAACTGTCGTAGTGACAAGTCTTTATTGTCTGGCCAATTCTGAAGGAAGTTAAGGACCACCTCTACGTCCCACGTGTGATTATACTTAGGTTCCGGCGGTCTGGACAAGTTGATGCCTCGCATTAGGCGACATACCAAAGGGTCCTGACCAACCAGAGAGCCATGCACTGTTACGTGTGCCGCAGAAAATTGCGGAACGCGTCACATTGATGGAACGATAGGATTTCCCTTCCGTGAAGAGGTGCGACAAAAAATTTACCACCATGGTGTTAGGTGCTGTAAAGGGATCACAATTCCGTCCCAGACACCCACGTTTCCATGAATTCCACGCTGATAGGTAACTCCGTCGGGTGCCCGGTGCCCATGAATCCCATAAAAGGTCTTTAGCTGGTTGCGATAGTCCCTCGACGGACCAGGCTCCCCTGAAAGACTCCAGGCTACCAGCTCCAGATTCTCCTGTACCATCAGTGGATGTGGTTCCCCTTTCGGATCTGTCAGAAGGAAGGGGACCGATGGAAGAAGTAATGGATGGTCCTGCGTGAGAGCCAGTAATTCTGGAAACCATGCTTGACTCTTCCACAACGGTGTGATGAGAATCATCGAGATCTTGGTCGTTCTGATGCGATGAAGTACTCTTGCTATCATCGAAAAAGGTGGGAATGCGTACGCTCCCCTCGGAGGCCACTGTTGCAGAAAGGCGTCTACTGCCTCGCTTTGAGGGTCCGGAAGCCAGCTGAAATATCTTGGTAACTGTGTGTTCGTCCGAGAGGCAAACAGATCCACGACCAACGGACCCCTGAGGTCCCTCACCATTGAAAATACTGAAGTGTCCAGTCTCCAGTCGCTGCCGTCTCGCCAATGACGAGAAAACCAATCCGCCGTGAGCTTGTTGGATCCTGGTAGATATTCCGCTTTGATCGTAATGTTGCGGGGAATACAGAATTGATAGATGTCCTTCGTTGCCTCTGTCAAGATCCTTGATTGGGCTCCCCCTAGGCGATTTATGTATTGGACCGCGGAAATGTTGTCCATGCGTAGAAGGATGCAACAGTTCGCCATGTCCTTGGCTAGACTGCGAATCGCAAACGATCCCGCAATCAGTTCCAGACAGTTGATGTGGAGACCCTGTTCCTCTTGAGACCACGGACCTCCCATGGATGCGTGGGTGCAGTGGGCTCCCCAGCCCCAAAGGCTCGCGTCTGACTCCAATACAAAGTCCGGGCTTGCCCCGAAAATGGCTCTGCCGTTCCAGGCTTCCATGTGCTGCAGCCACCACCGAAGTTCCGTCCGAGTCTCCGAGGAGACAGGAATCCAGTGATCGTATGTGTGTCCGGTTCGTAAATAGTGGGCTTTCAGTCTCTGCATTGCCCGGTAGTGGAGCGGGCCTGGGAAAATCGCTTGTATTGATGAGGAGAGTAGTCCTACTATCCTCGCTAATAGTCGGAGGGGTATGGTGTCTCTCCTGAGTATCCTTCGGATCTCCTTCCGAATGGCCGCTATCTTGGATGCGGGAAGACGTAGCATGCAAGAGTTGGAGTCTATCTCGAACCCGAGGAACTGGACTACTCGTGATGGAGCCAATGATGACTTCTCTCTGTTCACTACAAACCCCAATGATTCCAGAAAGTGTATGGTAAATCTCGTCTGAGATTGAATTCTGGATTTGTAGTCGCCAAAGATCAACAAATCGTCCAGATACATGAGGCAGTGTATTCCTCTTCCTCTCAGATGGGCCATTACTGGTTTGAGAAGTTTCGTAAAACACCATGGAGCCGAACTGAGGCCGAATGGTAGACATGTGAACTGGCAAGGGCGACCCCTCCAGAAGAAACGCAGGAAGACTCGGCTTTCTCGAGCCATGGGAACCGACAGGTAGGCGTCTTTTAGGTTCAAGCGTGTGAACCAGTCGCGTTCGTTCAGCAGATCCCTCAGAAGGTGAATACCTTCCATTTTGAAATGGAGATAAGCCACAAATCCATTCAGTTCTCGTAAGTTGATGACTGGGCGGTAGTCCCCCGTCTTTTTCTTGACAACAAACATGTTGCTGAAGTAACCCTGGTCGTCTGGGGCGAGTTCCACCGCTCCCTTTGTGAACAGGGTTTGTATCTCCGTGTCTATGAGACGTCTCTGACTCTCTGACGCTCGTATAGGTGATGGTTGCCTGATCTGAACTGGCGTACGGGTAAATTCTATCACGTATCCTTGCACGGTCTGCAGGATCCATGCGTCTGTGGAGATTCTTTCCCATTCCTGCGGAAAAAGGGACAGTCTGCCAGCAGTTATATTTGAAGGACATAACGGAAGATATTTCATGCTCACCTGAGTTGAAACGTCCCCGTCCTCTGTTCCGAGTGCCCCTTGTACACCAGGATCCCCTTGTGAAGTTGGCTCTTGTAGATGGGAAGAACTGTTGCGTAGCGTATGGGCGACTGGGGCCGGATGGCCAGAAACGGCTGGTGGCCTGACCCCTCTGCCGACCAGCCCTGCCAAAAACACCTCGAGTTGTCTGTGGGTTCCGAAAGACTTGTCTAATAGATGATTGTGCTTTATTCAGTGTAGTGAACAGGCCTACGTGCTTTTTCAGTTCTGCCATGAATGGTTCTCCAAAGAGCAGTCCATCCGCCAGGGGGCCTAGCTCCTTCTTTCCCAGGTCCAACAGTTTGGAGTCTATCTTCAATAAGGCCGCTTTACGGCGTTCTGCGCACATGGCGGCGTTGGAATTCCCTAGAAGGCAGATCGCTCGCTGTGCCCATTCTCTAATGTCGTGTGCCTCGAGGGTCGTCCGCTGGGTGAGTGCCACATCTGCGAAGTATAGGATCTTCGCTAAAGGACCTAGCATGTCCAGCATTTTTTCCTGGACCGATTTCATGCCCTTCTCAACACCTTTCCGTGGGTCTCTGCCCGAGCGGGACATAAACACCCCCACTGTGGCATCAAACTCTGGGGTGATGGCTATCTTCTCCGGGAGTACGGGACGTGGACACTCTGCTTTGAGTTTGGCCCGAACCTCCTTGTCCATTGGCTTCCTAAGCCAAAAATTTATAAATTGAGTCAGATGGTCCGGCAGGTTCCATTCTGACGATCTGGGGTGGCGTATCTGGCGTGGATCGAACAAGGGGTTACCCGTCCCGTCCAGAAACACCCCATCTTCATATACTTCCGTATGCACTTTACGTGTGCTTTTGCCGCCTGAGCGGTGTGCCCGTTCGGGGCCTTGGTCACAATCTCTGACCTCCTGAGGCATGTCCTGCCAGTCCTCCTCCTCCGAGGGGGAATCCTCTGCCCTCCACTCGTCCATGATTTCTAATGAAGGTGGAGATAATGGCTCCTCATCCCCTGAGGAAGGGGGTTGTGGAGGGGAGCGGTCCGGGCGCCTAGACTGGCGACTCCGCTTCCGCAACACCTTCCCCTCCCATCTCTGTAGGGTCGCATTGGATCCCTCCCATTGTCGTTTGTACGACCCAGCCTCCGCCTTGGACTCGGCGGGTTCTTTATCCTCTTTTCTCGCTGGAGGCGCGGCGTCTGCCCCCTCCGTTTGTGGTTGCGCCATCATTTTGGCCAACGCCTTTTCCACCGAAGCCGACACTGCGGCATTGATCATGGCCTGGAAATCCATGGGAAATGATGGAGGAGCGTCTGACATGGTGGCAGTTCGTTCTTCCCGTCTGTGGGTAGATAGGGTATACGTCAGTGCGTATGTAGCTACACAGTGGCTTCCATGTACAACTGGGGGTCACCCAGGTACCATATAATCAGTACCACTAGGAGCTTGAGTAGTGGTCTGTAGAGGGGGTCACCCTCTCATTGACCGGGGTGCACGGTCGTTAAGAGTGGGACGTAGCCCGGTAGTGGTTGGGACGTAGCCCGGTAATGGTCGGGACGAGGCCTGGTAATGGTCGGGACAAAGCCCGGTAATGTGAGGTGTCAAAGACCTCAGTACGCTTATTTTTAAAATGTCACCCTCATGCATGAAATTTGTGGAATTCGCCACTGTGAATTGCGTGGATCACCCCAGTTG